TTGGACTAGAAAGAAGGAAAACAAAAAACCATAGCCCCTTTTCTGTGGCTTACAGCTGAGATTCTGGAACACAAGGTTTGCAACTTCCTTTTGACGTGCCTTTAGAAAACTAGCTTAACCTTTCCAAGCCTTAGCTTCCTGTCCTGTAAATGAGCATGGTCATAGATCTAAGTTAACCGAGATCATGAGTGTAAAGAGGTGACATGTTAGTTTCTTCCCTCTTACTCGATAAGATGCCCCTGCTCTGAGCTCCCGTTCTCCTGGGGAGATGATCTTCACCCACGCTGCTTCACTGTATTGGAGGATCAATTGCACTGACACATGTGCAACTTACTGCAAAACTTGTGTTGCATTAGGGCTGAAGCACCTCCTATAAACTGAGTGCCTTGTTTAGTATTTTACTGGTGCGGTTACATAAAACTCTGGTAATGGAGGTCAAGATGCCTGGATTTGAATTTAGCTTCAACCACTTACTTAGCTGAGTTATCTAGCAGTCATTACTTTTCTTTTTTCTGTTCTTAGATTCTTCATCTATAAATGGAAATAATAGCAGTATCTTCCTCACAAGCGCGTTGTGAGGATTAAGTGAGATAATGTACACAACGAGGATAGCCGAGCGCCAGGCACATGGAGCTGACTGCTCTGGCGGCTCTTCTCCAGTTCTGAGCTCAAAGAGGAGGAGTTGCTGTGGCTGGAGGTCCTAGGGCCACACAAAGAGGGCAGCTTCTCGAGAGCACTCTGCAACGTCTTCTCAGTTCTTAAAATGGGAGGGGAGGGGAGAGAGTGGATGCTACTGGTCAGCTGAGTGGTGCACAGATTTAAACCACCAGACACCATCATAGACAGGCATCAGTGTGTGCCTAGGGCATCGGAAGAGTATTTGCTTGGGGAGACCCGTAAGCCAGGCAATAGCTGAGGATCTGTGTTCCAGGGCTCACTGTGCCCCACATCATCTGGCCAAAGGGAGTGAGCCAGTCACAAGGACAGCACTGTGTCTCCATACACTGTGTGACCTGGCGCTTGTTCCTGGGCCCCATGGCTTGTGTTCCCAGTGTTCTCAGAGATGATCCAGCCACAAAGGCACCAGTGCTCAATGTGGAGCACAGAGCAAGAACATGAATTTGGGGCCAGGCTGGCCCTGCCACCTGTGAGTTCTGTAACGTTGGAGGAAGATAGTTAATTATTTCTCTGTGCCTCACTTTTCAGCTTGGAAATGGGGATTATGACACCTACCTTATAAGGCTGATTGGAAGTTAAGTTGGTTAGTACAGTAGAATACTACCTGGCACCTGATCAGCTGTCATTGTTAAGTGTCTCTGTGGCATTGGGAGGACGGGGAAGGTGAGGAACACTGGAGCGGATGATACGGAGGTAATGATGGCCTGTGAGCTCACAAGGACCTCCCTTGGGGCTGCCAGAAACACTTGGAGAAGAACCAAGTTTGTTCAGATGGAAGCCGGAGCTGGTGCAAACTGGGCTGTCACAACTAACATGAACATCCGGGTACTCCAGGCTTGCAAGGCACCTCTGAGGATATTGCGCTGTCTCAATGAATTTGATTCATAATGAAGCTGCTAGTCAAAGGCCAGGAAACCTCTGATGTCTTGTTCAAAGTGCCTTTGGGACCTGGGCCTGGATAGTGAAGGGGCACAGCTGCCGTGTGTCTTGAGGTGGGTGAGTAGGGGAGCTCTGGAAACTGTCATGGGACCAAAGACTGAAGAACCAGAGGAGATCCAGGCACCCTCCCTTCAGGGCGCCCACTGCAGGCCGTGTAGAGGCAGAACCAAGGGAGCATGTTGGGGAGGAGGATCCCGGCTTGCCCAGGACAGAGGTGGCCAGGCACAGCCCAGCTTTCTGGTGAGATGGTGAGCTCCTGAGCATGGAAATATTCCAGAACTCCAGTTCAGTAGGTCCAGCTTAGCTCAGATATCTGGGGTTTGACAAGTTTCTTAGGTGACTGGTTTGGAGCTCAATTTATTGAGAGCATTGTGTTTCTAGGAGAAACTTGGACACAGTCTGGAATCCCTCTAGCTCTAATTGTTTGACATCTTGTAGACCCTCAAGGTTCCAGGCTGACAGCTTCTGTTCCTGCCAGAGCCCCTGAACTGCAGAGCCCCTTTAAGTCCCATCCTGCTCACAGCCAACCCTGCAGCACACACTGCTTAGAACACAGCCTTGGCTAGCGCACTGTGAGAGGCTCTGTTTTCCTGTGGAATTTGATTACAGCTTCAGATTAGGGAGAGAGAGAGAGAACATGCAGGAGCACAAACAGAACCTAGTCCTACAGCTTCTGTGTTTTCATGTGAAAAGGCCTCAGCTAGCACTCAGGAGAGGGATGGGAAATAGGAACCGTGACCGGAGCAATAACTAGGACTGGACCCCAGGGAACTGTAAACTCAGAAGGATGCTCTCTGTTCTTTGCCTGCTTCATGAAGTGGGAATTCACACAGTGCTGGGACTTCCGGATGAGCCTTCCTGGCCAGCCTGCTTCTTTGGCTGTCTGGCTTCCACCACTCCCAAGGATATAGACTTCAGCTCCTGGAGGCTCCTGCTGGGCTTAGGAGGCATGACCTTCCCCTGAGGCCACGAATGCCTATGAAGCCCAATGTGGGTTGTTCATGGATGTAAGAGGGGGAGAAGCTCTTAAGTGATCATGCCCTGCTGGCTTTTGGAGAACTCAAGGAGGCCCAGAGCCTGGCAGATAGTTTCATCTCATGTGGGCCTTTACTCCGAGGGTCCAGCTGCCCCTGCTCTGTGTGTGCCTTAGGGCCGAGATGAACAGGCAGACTCTAGGAGACAACAGCTAACAGTGGTTTGGGTAACACAGGAGGAGGCACAGGGATGACTAAATTAACAGACTCTGTTTTATGGTCTCTGGACCAGCATGTGAGGAGCTGGGATTCAGGCCTGTTGGGTCTCACTGCAAAGCCCATACCCTTAAATCCTGTGCTATGTCTTCCCTGATAGGACCTGGGCTACCTGGCCCCTAACCCACTTGAATATCTCACAGGTCCTTCTGCTGGGGTCCAGCAATGTAAAAGCCATCAGTACCTACAAACTTAATATGTGTCTTGATTTCCCACAAGCACAGAGATAGAAGTGCCTTCAGACATCATCATTTTGTAAAAATCTGGTTCTAGCTTAAGCTTACAGGCCACTGAGCTTGTGGGAAACTAAAATCTGGAGCCCTGACCAGCCAAATAAGGGTCTGTGACCCTCAATGTGTCGTCAGCTAGTGAGTTCCTCCCCCTGCTGGGCCACCTCTAGAAACTCATCTTCACTGTATCCTGATGGATCTGCACCTACGTGTGGCTTGAAGCCACGTGGATAGGAAGGACCAGCAGGTCTTTCTGGGGTCTAGTTTTGTATCTCTTGAGAACCGAGGTTAAAAGGCTTTTTAGTTAAAGAAGTGTGGAATCAGAAAGAACTCAATATAGAAGCTAGTCTTCACTGATGATGGAGTTGCATCTTGCCTGACCTGATTATTATTATTATTAATTATTACTGTTATTTATGGATGCTTATCTTCTTGAAGCAGTTGAGGAAGCTGCCCAGGATTGGGCAGCTAGAGTTTGCATGAGAATCTGGCTGTAGGGCACTGTCATTGTTGGTTAAGTGGGAAGGGTCAGTGGTGGCCACTGCAAGAGAAGTCCAGCCTAGCGAGTGAGATGGGGATCAGGAAAGTCATGACCTGAGGAGTTGGAAGCAGGCACATTTGAGTCTAGTATGAGTGTTCTGCTTGGTGTTGCCTTTTCCTGCTTCAGCCAGTGAACTCCTAGAACTTGACGGCTTTGAGGATTACTGATAACCAGCACCCACAGTGTCCCAACATGTCCAGAGTGAGTATGGGGTGCTCAGTAAAACCTTAAACTTCAGTCTGTGGGCAGAGATGGTGGTTCGACCTACTGTCATTTATGCATTCATGAAAAGGGCAATCCCCTCAAGGCTGCATAATTCAGCCTTGCATAATTTTGCATAATTTCAGTCCCGTGAGATTGGGACAAGAAGGGCCATTCTTTTCTAAGTATTTGCTGTCTAAGTTCCCACAGTCACGATGTGTAAGAAAACAAACATCATCATAACATGAAAATATTCAGCAGGAATCTGCCCATTTGGAAAAATAATGCTCACTCATTCTCCCCTCACTTAGCAAGTGTCTCCCATCTGGCTTGGGTCAGTTTGGATGGCAGTTAGATAACAAGCTCACTGCAAACCGACTGTACAGTCCATGGAGGCAAAGAAAACCACGCCAGAGAACTTCATATACAAAGTCTTCAACCAGTAGGATCAGATAGAACAGCATCTGCTAGCAAATGAAAAACATGAGGATGCTAGAAAAATAAATCCTTCAAAGGGGAATGATTAACAGCTTTAAAGAGATCCTTGGAATAATGATCGTGCTGTAAAGGAAAATCTGAGGAATGCGGTGTTATGTGAACACAGTTAATTGGTATAAAACAGTAAGTATATCAGCACCAATCCTTGACTCATTCTTCATTCAATAAAAAAGTAGCATATTAACCTATACTGTGTATAGCTAAAAAATAACTTGCTCTCATAATTTCATTTGCACAATTAAATCTCAATGATATTTTCATCATTTTCTCTTTTTCGATAAAATTGCAGTGAAAGCTTCGTTCACTTTTTACTATGAAGTTTTTGATCTGCATTCTAGTGGTTTTTAGCTGGTGCCCAGCTACCCTGACATGACTGGGCTTTCTGAGAGGGGCAATTCTTTTCTGAATTTTTCCCCAGTTCAGGAGGAAATCAGTGGGATTAGGATGGTTTGATACCAGGAGGCCTCTGTCAGAGACAGCCTAGATGGATCCACACTCCAGGTATTGCTGTGTGTGAAAGCCACACACCTTCCCCGGGGGCCCGCTACAGCCTTCACAAGCCGTCTGCAAACCCTCTGGCCAGCTGGAGAGCTGTGGCCTCAGCCCAGGACACTTGGCTTGGCCCCCAGCCAGGCTAGCCATGGGCAGGGAGGCGGCACTTACTTGGCTGGCGGGGCTCTGGGCTGCCTGTGGCTCTCCGGGAGGCTCCTCGTCCTCGGGAATGTGGGGCATGGCAACCTCCTGGCCGAGTGGCTGCGAGTGCCCGGAACCTCCGCTGCGTCAGCCCCCAAGATGCTCCAAGAGGCCTGGGCTCCACAGGCTGGGGAGACGCCAAAAGGACAAGTCAAATCGCTTCCCATCCCTGTCCCAAGCTGGGTTCGGAGAGAGCCTGCTTGAGTTTACATCAACACTGGAGGTCAAACTAGGCTAGGAGCGGGCATTCAGAATTGCATTTCCTTCTGCTCTCTGGCTTGTTTACAAAGTCAGAGGTGACCTTTTACGTCTAATTTGGTCCTTACTGTAAACACAGCTATCTCAGAAGGGAGAGGAGTGCTTCAAACTTCTCAGAGCCATAGCTAATGGGGGATACTCAGTTGGGATTAGGTTGGCATTTGTGCATCATTCACTGGGCACCTCTGGGTGGCAGCTGCTATCCTAAAAGCATGACTACCATCGTCTAATTGACTTCTTATGATGACCTCTGATGTAAGCATTAATAGTCCCATTCTGTAGGCCAGGGATCAGAGAGGAAGCCAATTGCCCCAAATTACACAAAGAACCAAGATTTTGCACCAGGGCTTCCTGACCTCAGACCAGGGCTCTTTTTCACAACTTCATACAGCCTTTCTCTACTGTATTTCCTGACTTTCCCAAGGGGAATCTTAGGGAATAAGAAGGAAACAGCTTTTACTGAGTACCTACTGTGTCCCAGGTCCAAGGTGAGTGACTGGTGGAGGCCACAGGTGGAAGAGCCAGAAACCACTACCGTCTCCCATGACATTAGGTGCCTTCTTGTTCAACAGAAAGGCATAGGAAGGGCCTGAGAGCCAGAGTGCTACAAGGCAGGCTGGCACCTGGCACCTGGCATGGCTGAGACAGAGGCCACAAAGCCAATGCACACACTTTCACAATCTGGCTCTTGGGAATGAGAGTTGCAGTGTCGTGTCGCCCATGCTAAGTGAGTATGGTATTAATAAACTGAACACCCAAGGGTGAGCTCCATGATTAACTTCTATCACCTTTAGTTAGACTTTGGCGATGATAATGTCAATGGTGCTGGGTACAGTAGTAACGGGGGTTGAAGGTAGCAAGACTACCTATGAACCGTAATTTTGCCAGACCTATCAGGAGCCCTCTTAACAAGTGTGATGTGTGGGAGTCCAGGATGTCTTAAAAGGAATATGGTTTCCAAAACACAGGAGACAACCATTCCACTCTGGCTTTCTGCCTTACTGCACAGTGCATACTGTGCTCTGCAGGTTAAGAAGGATTTGGATGACTTGAGGGCTGTTTAGAAAAGGGAAGGAGGACACCTGGAGGCCAAGAAGTTGTGCTTAAATAACTAGAGACCTTGTCTGGACAAGAGAAGGTATAGAAAGGAAATACAGTGTTTTCCTAGGTATTTGAAAGGTATCACACGGTCCTGCCATCCCTGAAGGACAGGTTTGTAATCGATGACTGAAAGGTCAGATGAAGAGAGGCAAAAGAAACCTAGTGGCTGGCTCACCCGGAGATGAAACGGGACATTCTTTAGGTAGTGAGCTCCCTGTTCCTGAGAGAGGTTCAGCAAAGGCTAGGATAAGGGTCACAGAGTTCCTAACCGCAGTAGGGATCCTTCCCAATCCTCAGCTCTTCCTACTCACAACAAACCACAAGGACCCTACACTCCCTTCCCAGAACTCTGGCATCTCGATGTTCCCAAGTTACAGCAGAAATATCCCATTTCCCAAACCTTGGCTTCCTTTACTCCACCACCTTCTCTTCAAGAAAGACCTTTAGCTAGTCCTGAGGGAGAAAATAAAACAGTAATGAATGAAGCCAGACAAACACCAAGGTGTCAGCTGCTTCAGGATCAGAGCAGAGTGGATGCTGGCTGAGGTGCCACCAGTGCCAACATGGAGCCCTCAGCTCTTCCGGGAGGGGAGATCAGCCCTGCCGGGCCATTCCCACGCTGCTCCTGCCTTGTTTGCTCTCCCTCCCATCCATTATTATAAACTCGCTGCTTAAAATAGCAAGGTAGAAGCGAGTTCCTCCCCCAGGGGTGACGTCTGGGTTCCGCAGGAGCTCGTGGGCACGCAGTCTTCACATCTATCACAGCAAAGTTTGGAATACAACCTCCAGGAAGTGGAGCTCACATCCCGTAAAAGGAGAAAACAGTAATGCTTGGTCTCCTGGTTGGTCCTTCTTTTCCCCACTCCCCAGTCCTCCAGGCTGCCTCGCCAGCCTGATCAGGAAAGCAGTCAGTGGGAAGACACCAGAAGCCCATCATGTCTTTGGCTCCGCCCACTCTGCCACCAGCCAGTACTAAAGTAGGAACTCGCACATTTTATAGAAAGAGAAACCGAGGCACAGAAAAGTGAAACAACTTGATTGGGTCCAGTTACCTTTGTACCTGGTACAAAGTACCCGAGTGCCTCTCCTGTAGTAACTGTCCAATCATTTGTTTCACTGGAGAAGCTAGAACCCAAATCTAAACTACTCGTTTTATCTTTTCCCTGCTCATGAAATATACATAAACAAATATATTTGTGTTCATGTTTTCTACATCAGATACCTCTAGGTTTCTACCGGATGTGGGAGAGCGTCTGTCTCAGTAACTTGCTCAAAATCACACGGCTAGTAATAAACAGGTCTGAGTCATAATTCAGGCTAGTTGGGGCCCCAAGTCCGTCATCTTTCCCCTCTTTCTTCTGCTAGGATGTTGCTGATGAACCCGGGGTGGGACATTTGTCCCCCGGGGAGCACTGGACTGTGATCTCCCAGCAAGGCTAAGGGTGAGGCGGCGCAGGGCAGAGGAAGAAACACTGTCTCTTCGGTTGTCAGGCCAGGTCTTCTGAAGGCAAAGGGTGGGACTGCAGTTAGAAGTTGCGTCACTCTCACTGTGCAGAGGCAGATGCCTCCATCCACCACCTGCTCCTGGAGTGCCAGCCCATGCCCTCGCCCCTCACCTCATTCTTCTTTTCATACCCCTGTCATGGATTTACTCATTCAGGATTCATCTTGGCAAGTCTGTGCTTGGGCTGGAAGCACAGGCCATGTCCTGGGGGCTGAGAGTGGTCACACAGCCCAGCCACAACAAGCACACACCTTCATGCCGCCCGCCACAGTGGCACTAGAGAGCCCAGGCTGCTTTGCAAGTTCCAAGGCCTCGCCCTGCCCAGCAAACCCGTGACTATCATCGGGCCGAGGAAACGGTGTTTATAACGGCACCCCCAGTGCTGTCTGCTGCTGGAGGTGGTGGGCAAGTACCATTGCCCTTTAGTACCATTTGGAGTAGGCCATTGTAGGGATGAGGAAACAGAAGCATGAAGACTGCCTGAGATTACTACCTGTGAATGGTGGTGCCTGGGGTCTACCCATATCTGTGTGACTCTCAGGCTCCTAGCCAGGCTGAGCCCGCTGGCTGTGGGTGGTGTTCTTGGCAGGCAGTGGCCTCTCCCAGAGCCCTGCGACCTGCCCAGTGGAGATCAAATCCCTCTCCGAAACCACAGGGTCCCAGGAGCACAGCCTGCGTGCTGTGAGGCTCTGGTAAACCAAGAGGGCCAAGAGGCCCTTCTGGGAAACAAGGGGTTAAGCCTGCCCCACTGACCTTTGTGGAGTGACTCAGTCTTCTCAGAAAGGAGGCTTTGTTCTTCCAGCTTGGGATTTTTGCTTTCATTTAGCCACCAAAAAAATGTGAGAGTGATTAGGCTGCTATTAATACCTGGCCCAGCCTCTCTCTGGATGAAGGATGAAGACAGGAATTGCTCGGGGTGACTGCACACACATCGCTCTCAGCTGCTCTGCAAATCTGCAGAGCCCAGGGAGAGCCACTGCCACCCCACTTTTTGGACCAGAGCTAAGGCCCAGATAAGGCCAGGGACCCAATCAAGACCACACTGGGAGGAGGCTGCCACAGAGAAAGCCCTTGATGCCTGGGCCCCAGGCCCCATGGCACCTAGCAGCTTCCGGTGTCCTATTTTGGAGATCCTGCCCACAGCACAGAATAAGTAAATGTGTCAGTGCCCCGAGAGCGAGGCTTCTCAAACTCACCCATGGCCACCTTGGGGGAGCTCTCTGGGAATCGGAGATGAGCTCAAGATGTTGCAAGAAGTGTCTATGGATCCCTGGGCCTGGCCAACTGCAGAAGGGGGTGCTGCACCCCACAAGTAGCCCTAAGGGCGATTACTGTGGGAGTACCCCCTTGGAATGCTGCAGGCAGGCTGAGAGCTCAGCAGGTGCAATTGCAAAACTTCCTCTCCCTCGTCCTTGATGGATTGGTCTCCTCTGGCCTCGGCTTCCTCATGTGTAAAATGGAAGTAATAGCACCTACATTTTCAAGTTGTTATAAGGATTAAATTAGGAAGTACCTGAAAAGTTCTGGCATGCAGAGGGAACTCCTTAAGTCCTCTTTATGGTTGCAATAGGCAGCTGACTTAGCTTTAGCATCAAAACCCAGCCATGACCCAGGTATTTTGTTATACATCCTTGGGGCTCAGAAACCCAGCCTGGTCAAGGAGATACAGTCCTGCCCTGGCCAGGCCTGTCGTGAGTGTCTAGAGCACTCTGAACTCCGGGCAAGGTAAACACGCACGCCTTGTCGGGACACGGGGGGTACAGCGCTTGGAAAAGAAAGACAGGAGAGACACCTTTGTTGTCTGCACCGCGTTACACTGCACTGCACTGCACTGTACGCACAATCTTTATTTTAGGATTCATATATAGTAAACCCGATCAATTCACAGAGCCCAGATAATTAAGTAGTGAAAAGGCATTCTTTGTGGCAAGCTACAACGTGACAGACTACAATGTTTATTCTAAAACTATCTAAGTGAAGTAAATAATCACAACCAGTTCTCACAACTTCTCTAGCCCAGGAAGAAATTCATTAGCTCAAGAATGTTGTTAATTTGTCTGCTGTTAGTGTCACAAAGGGTGGCCAGCCACTTCCTCAAGACTTCTGCAAAACAAAGCCAGCTCACAGTATGGATTCCAGAGGGTGAGGGCTCACTGAGAACGGGCATTCCCGTTCTACCTCCTTCTCGCATACCAGGGCGGCTATTGTAAATTGCAGGTTAGAGGGGGTTGGGCCTACAAAGTGACACCTTATCCCCCACACAG